CGTCATGGTTTCAAATCATGCATTGCACGGAAGGTTCCCCTGCTCAAGTCATCACATGTCCAGGCCCGTCTGAAGTTTGCCAAAGACCATTTGGATGATCCAGAGGAGGCATGGGAGAAAGTCATGTGGCCAGATGAAACCAAAGTAGACCTTTTTGGTCTAAACTTCACTCGTCGTGTTTGGAGGAAAAAGAAGGATGAGTTGCATCCCAAGAACACCATCCCTACTGTGAAGCATGGGGGTGGTAACATCATGCTTTGGGGGTGCTTTTCTGCGAAGGGGACAGGACGTCTGCACTGTATTAAGGAGAGGATAAGTGGGGCCATTTATTGTGAGATTTTGAACAACAACCTCCTTCCTTCAGTCAGAGCATTGAAGATGGGTTGTGGCTGGGTCTTCCAACATGACAACGCCCCGAAGCACACAGCTAGGATAACCAAGGAGTGGCTCCGTAAGAAGCATATCAAGGTTCTGGAGTGGCCTAGCCAGTCTCCAGACCTCAGTCCAATAGAACATCTTTGGAGGGAGCTTAAACTTCGTGTTGCTCAGCGACAGCCCCGAAACCTGACAGATCTAGAGGAAATCTGTGTGGAGGAGTGGGCCAAAATCCCTGTTGCAGTGTGTGCAAACCTGGTCAAGAACTACAGGAAACGTGTGACCTCTGTAATTGCAAACAAAGGTTTCTGTACCAAATATTAACACTGATTTTCTCAGGTGTTCAAATACTTATGTTCAGCAGTGCAAGACAAATAAATTCTTTAAAAATCATACAATGTGATTTCCTGAATTTTTTTTTTTAAATCCTGTCTCAGAGTGGGAATGCACCTACAATGTGAATTTCAGACCCCTCCATGATTTCTAAGTGGGAGAACTTGCAAAATCGCAGGGTGTTCAAATACTTCTGTTCCTCACTGTATGGCTGCAATAAAACAAAGAGTGAAAAATTTAAGGGGGTCTGAATACTTTCCGTACCCACTGTATGTTAAGGTGAAATACAGGTCAACTTTGAAATTAGGTTATTAATAAATCTAAGTGATGAAGGGGACTTGAAAATCATTAAAAATGTGTTTACTTTATTGTAAATGATGAAACCAGAAAACATCTGGAACTGTATACTTCTCAAAGAGCATTTTGCTAACAAACAAAATTCACTTCAAACTTTTATGGACTCCTGAGAAACTCAGCGTGTCATAAAAAAAGTCTAATAGGAGCTTTAAAAAAAATTCCCAGCAGAGTCCCCACTGATGGATTTCATTTCAGCCCACCCTCATGATTGTTCCTCAGTGGAGGAATATTAGAGACTGGCTGGAAGTGACTCAGTGTGTGGATCTTGGACTTGAGTTATGGGATCTTGACTACATCCTCCGAACAGCCACAGTCAGAGGGGGCTTGTGGGAAACGTGAGACAAAGAGAAAGGGCGACGAGGAGCAAGAACGATACAGAGAAGAAGAGACTACGCTGTTGCCTGCATGCGTGCCAGACAGATATGCATGTGTGTGTGTAAAACTCAGTGGCGGGTGGCTGTGAAGTTTGGGAAAAGGGTGTTGGCTGGCCCCCATGCAGACTTCCTTGCTCAGCCGTGGGGTCGACAGCCTCTCTGAAAGGCGGCATTGTCCCGACTCTGGGCCCTCTCCTCTCTCTCTAGCAGAGTAAACACAGGCTGCAGCAGCTGAGTGGGAGAGAGAGAAGCAGAGGGATGACCAAGGGGGCCACAGTGAGTATATACGAGGGTGAGGAGGAAGTGGAGGAGGAAGAGGAGTCCTGAAAGAGAGGTTTGTGTGTGTCCTCTTTAGAAACCCCGTCACCTATTCCCCTGCATACCCCCTCCCCACACAAGTCCTGCTTTGCTGCCCCAGGTCTCTTTGATGGAGGTATGGGTGTGTGTGCTCAGGGGGTGAGGTCGGAGGTTGTGGGAGTTAACTCATACCTGAGGTAGCACAGGGGGCATCAGGTCAGGGGAAGGCTATGTGTTTCAGCACCTCCCTGCTCCAAGGCTAGGCTCACATGGATCAGAAATGACCCTTAACCCTGCTCAGACTCACTGATCTTTAGCCTGATCTGATCTGAGGAGATCTGTGCCG